CTGGACCTGGGTTTTTTTTGGGTGGTAGGCTATTAATCGCTGCCTCTACTTCAGATCTTGTTATTGGTCTATTCAGGGTTTCAGCTTCTTCCTGGTTTAGGCTTGGGAGGATGTAAGTGTCCAGGAATTTATCCATTTCTTCCAGGTTTACTAGTTTATGTGCATAGAGATGTTTGTAATAATCTCTGATGATGGTTTGCATTTCTGTGGAATCTGTGGTGAGATCCCCTTTATCGTTTTTTATTGCATCTATTTGATTATTCTCTCTTTTCTTTTTTATTAATCTGGCTAGTGGTCTATTTTGTTGATCTTTTCGAAAAACCAGTATTTTCTATCTCTAGATTATGAGTGTGGTTAAAAAGATCTTTTCATATATGTATTAACCACTTGCATCTTTTTCTTCAGTGAAATGCCTATTATTCTTTTTATTGGTTTGTGGGTGATACGGTTTGGCTGTGTTCCCACCCAAATCTCATCTTGAATTGCAGCTCTCATAATTCCCATGTGTTGTGGGAGGGACCCAATGAGATATAACTGAATCATGCAGGTGGTTCCCCCCATATTGTTCTTGTGGTAGTGTATAAGTCTTATGAGATATGACGGTTTTATAAGGAGAAAATCCCTTTCGTTTGATTTTCATTCTCTCTTTGCCTACGCCCATGTCTTTCCCCTTCTGCCATCATTGGGAGGCCTCCCCAGCCATGGAGAACTGTTGAGTCCATTAAACCTCTTCTTTGTAAACTATCCAGCCTCTGGTATGTCTTTATCAGCAGTGTGAAAACAGACTAATAGAGTGGAAGTTCTTAATATTTTGAAGATGCTGCTCTTTCATCATATATATTTGCAAACATTTGTTCCTAGTCTATCTTTGATTTTGGTTTACAGTTCCTTTGTCATACAGAAGTTTCATACAAAAATACAGTTAAATTTGGCCCAGCGTGGTGGCTCATGCCTGTAATCCCAGCACTTTGGGAGGCCAAGACAGGCAGATCATGAAGTCAAGAGATCGAAACCATCCTGGCCAACATGGTGAAACCCCATTTCTACTAAAAACACAAAAATTAGCAGGGCATATTAGCATGCACCTGTAGGTCCAGCTACTCAGGAGGCTGAGGCAGGAAAATCACTCGAACCTGGGAGGCAGAGGTTGCAGTGAGCCGAGATTATGCCACTGCACTCCAGCCTGGGTAAAAGAGTGAGACTCAATCTCAAAAAAAAAAAAAAAAAAAAAAAACAGTCAAATTTACAATTCTCTGTGTTTCCCTTAGAGGCTATACTAGTTTCCCAATTCTGCCATAACAAAGTACTACAAATTGGATGTCTTAAAACAATAGAAATATATTTTCTCATAGTTGTGGAGGCTAAATCTGAAATCAAGGTGTCCATAGGGCCATGCCCTGTCTGAAGATTCTAGGGAATAATCCTTCCTTGCCTCTTTCTTGGTTCTGGCAGTTTCTGGCAATCCGTGGCATTCTTTGGCTCATGGCAGCATCACTCCAATCTCTGCCTCCATTGTCACACCATGGCATTCTTCCTGTGTCCATCTGTATCCAGATTTCCCCCTTCTTATACGGATATAAGTCAATGGATTAGGGCCCACTCTCATCCAATGTGGCCTCATCTTAACTCATCTGCAAAGACCCTACTTACAAATAAGATCACATTATGCCAGATATGGGTGATGGGGAGGAAGGCAACAAACCATGTATGTACCTATGCAACAATCTTGCATGTTCTTCACATGTACCCCAAAACCTAAAAGGCAATAAAATAGATATTTTTAAAAAAATCACATTCACATGTACCAGAGGTTAGGACTTCAACCTATCTTTTGAGGGGAAAAGGGGCAATTGACTCAAAACGGATGCTTGGCTGAAGATTTTCATATTTATGTTCATGAGAGATATTCATCTGTCATTTTCTCTTCTTGTAATGTCTTTGTCAAGTTTTGGTATCGGAATTCTTCCACCTTGGTGAAGTAAGCTGGAAGTGTTCCCTCTTTCTCTGTTTTCAAAAGTATTAAGTGTTTGACAGAATTGACCACTGACGTCATCTGGGCTAGAATCTGTCTTTGTGGAAGAGTTCTGAATTAACAACTCAGTTTCAACCAGCCTGGGTGACATAGTAAAACTGTCTCTACAATAGTAAAAATAAAAAATTAGCTGGGTGTGATGCATGCACCTATAGTTCCAGCTACTCGGGATGCTGAGGTGGGAGGATCATTTAAGCCTTTCCGAGTTCTGGGAGCCAAAAATCTGAAATCAGTATCACTGAACTGAAATCAAGGTGTTGGCAGAACCACATTCCTTCTGGAGGCTCTAGGAAAGAATCTACTTCTTGCCTCTTCCACCTTGTGCTGGCTGCCAGCATTCCTTAGCTCCCGGCACATCACTCCAATCAATGCCTCTGTGGTTACACTGTCTTCTCCTCTTCTGTCTGTGTCAAATCACCCCTGGCTCTTTCATGTAAGGACGCTTGTGGATAATCCAAGATAAGCCCCAAATCTCAAGACCTGTAATGTAATCACATCTGCAAAGATCCTTTTTCCATATAAAGTACGATTTACAATTTTCAGGGATTCAAAATTTATATTTTTGAGAGCCAGTATTCAGCCTGCTATAGTGCCTTTTTCAAAGTATTTATTTTCTTAAAATGTTGGGTAATTATTTTTGGCTAGGCTATTCATCTGCCTTTAAATATTTCACATGCTTATCTCTGTCTACTGCCGTGCTTATTTGAAATAAGGTGGAAGGTGCAAGTAATTAGTCTTCTGGGCAATAGGAGGGACTTTCTTCTGAAGATTAGAAAAATTTGGAGCTCTGTCTTGCTTCTTTGCTTCTGGTACTTCTACTTATTATTCTCACTTGACACTTCTGCCAGTTGTAATTTGGTCCAAGTAAGGTAAGATTGTAAGGGCTAAACCATCTTGTTATACCATCAGTGACACAAAGAGGGCTCCGCCCCTACCCCAAGGTTCCCGTCTTTTTTAGTATCTGCTGACTCTAGGCTTGGAACAACCAGAGGCTGCACCTACCTTTTCAGAAGTCTTCTTCTGACTGAGTTTAGCTTGGCTTCTTCCTTCAATCTGATCCCAACTTCCTTTTGTCTTTTAGGACTCCTTACAATTGTCTTGCTTTCTAACAGTTTTAGTTTTTTTTTAAGAACATCATTTTTGGATTTTCCCCCTCCAAAAGACTGAAGGCCAACCTGGGAGGCTAGAAGGTGTGCGCCATTTGTACCCTTGGTTTAAATTCCAAACTTTCTTTAAACCATATTTAATGCCTTTTCCTTACATGATTGCCATCTTCTTTGTGTCATACAAAGTTCTTAAATTACCTCATCTTCTGAAGCCTGTTTTATTCTATACTACTATATAGTATCTATTTTATAACAACACATTTTATTTTGGAGTCAGATGAATAGGTAAAAAGAAAATGTATATAGTAATGGACTGAAAAAAATTACTACATGATTGAGGAAAGACTCTTACTTGTAAGACATCTAAGACAGTACTCAAAAGAACAGCTCCTAAGATGAATAACATCCCACTTTTTCCCAAGGTTAATTAAATAGGTCAGAAAAAAATAATTTTCAAGTAGTTGTGCCATACCAAAAAAAAAAAAAAAGATGCACAGTATATTATAAAGCTAAAAGCTTTAAGACTAAACAAAAACTGCTGTGTACAATTCTATTTTTAGAATGAAGCAAATAGCATAAATTTAAGATTGGATCATTCTTAGGTTAACTACCAACACATGTGGCAGATGTTTGCTATAGATGCCAACTGAACATACAGGAAGCAATTCAAATTCAACATTTACAATTACACTTGGACCTTATTCCAGATTGTCTCAAGTATCCAGTTGTAAATTAAATGAATATTGTTTGTTTAGAGGCGTAAAAGTAGTAATTGATATGCCAAGCATATTAATGCAATTTTAGACAAACACTAAAAGTACCAGCAAAGTAGTTAGCACACTTAAGTTCTGTTCCTATAATGTGATTTACTGGGGCATCTCTGGGGTCCCAGTTTCATCATGTACAGTATGTACCTCTAAGGTAGTGCTCCCTAATCTTCATGTCAGGGCACATATAGAAAATGGTAACATATGAATATCTACCTGGTGTAAAAAGAAGAAGTACTCAAGGCTGGAACCTAGCAGATACTGTTTTGCTGTGTCCCTAACCAAATCTCATCTTGAATTACAGTTCCCATAATCCCCATGTGTTGTGGGAGGGACCCGGTGGGAGGTAACTGAATCATGGGGGCAGTTATACCCATGCTGCTGTTCTCATGATAGTGAGTTCTCACGAGATCTGATGGTTTTATAAGTGGCCTTTCCCTTTTTGCTCAGTACTTATCCTTCCTGGCATCACATATAGAAGGGCATGTTTCCTTCCCCCTCCACTGTAAGTTTCCAGAGGCCTCCCCAGCCATGTGAACTGTGAGTCAAACCTGTTTCCTTTATAAATTACCTAGTCTTGGGCAGTTCTTTATGGCAGCATGAGAATGAACTAATGCACTGGCTTAGGTGCTCTTGCTGTCCAGAACGCTGTGGGACTAACGTCTCAGTGCACCTGTAGCCCATTTGTAGTAAACCATTCCATCTTGGCCTGTAGTCCGGGGAGCTGTGACCTGCTACTCAAATTGTGAGCTGCTGATTGGTTTTACTTGGACTCTTGGGAGCTAGTTAAAAATTCCAAATCATGGGCTCTACCTTAGACCTACTAAATAAGAATCAGTATTTTAACAAGATCCCTAGGTAATTCACATGTACACTAAAGTTTAAGAGGTACTGCTCTAGAAAACTTTCAGCTCAAAAATTCAATGTATCTAATAATCTGTTTCATATAAGTGTATTCAAGGGTATTTTTATAATCTTATTAAAGTCCATATGATATAATAAAATTTAAAACTTTCATTTTACACAAATTTGTTCTTAATTTTTGAAAACAGACAAACGCTGACCTCTGAAACAGAAGAAGGGAAACATACTTACCTGCTTGTATACCTGTCGTAAATACATGATTTCCTCCACAGTTCCCAAGGAGATCAGCCTAAGCACTTTCACATCTCTACACTGTCCAATCCTATATGCTCTGTAAAAAGATTTAAAATACAAACAAAAATCAAGTGAAACAACTTTGGGTTCAAGAAGTAGCTTTGGGACATAACAATGGAAAATTATCAAAATTTTAATTAATTTAAAGAGAAACATTTTATGTTTAAACATTTAGTAATAATCAAAAAATTCAAATTTGTATAGAAAATTAAAGAGAAAAATATGCTAGAAAACATAGAAATATCAACTTCATTTCTGTTATAAACATCACCTTCCACCATCTAAAAACTTTTCCTACATTCAGGTTTTTCTTTTATGACAGCTTTAAGCTTATAGATTATTCCCCAAAGATTTCATTTATATAAAACTCCCCAAAATGCTAACTAATCCATAGTGCCAGAAAGCAGACTAGTGGTTACTTGGAGATAAAGGGATGGGGAAGAATGGGAGGGGTGGGTCACAAAGGGGCTGAAGGAAAATTCAGGGGTAATAAGTATGTTTATTATGTTAATTGTGGTGATGATTTCACAGGTACATAAGCCAAAACTTATCAATTGTACACTTGAAGTATGTACAGTTTATTGCATGTCAATTATACTTTACTAAAACTGTTGAAAAGTAAAAAAAAAAAAATCACCTAGCAAAAAATAATCAACTGTGAAGTCTATGGAAATGCTGGTTTACAGTCCTATCCACAGAGATTTCAATTCAGCAAATCTGACTGAATCACTCAGTTGACTGGCATCCAAGGTGTTTCCATACAGACCATAGTGCTAATTAAATTTCTAACCTGATTCATCACAGTGGTTTAACTGTGGGTCCATTCCCCACAGCTTCTCTCATATGGGAGGCTTTATAGTATTCTCTGTATGAGCACCAAATGCCTGTTACAGTTGTTGAGGGGAACTGAGGCAAGGCCATACTGCCTACAAGCTTGAAAATGTTACAATTTGGGGGAAATTTATCTTCAAACTTGTAAGGTCACCCATATGTTGTATTTGATTTTCTCTCTGCCTCCTTTACCCACTCCTCCTCATAAAGGACTTTTATTAGAGGACATCTTGGATCCTGCAAATCTTACTCACACCTCCAGCAGGAAAAGGAGGCTCCTGTGACACAACACCGCCATGGGTAAGGTACTGCATTCTCACCTCCATTCTGCAACCTGGAGGCAGAGGAGGGGCTCAGCATCCCTTTCTCTCCTACAGTATGTTTGGGTTCTAAAGAAAATCAGAAATGGATCTAAGAAAATGTCCTTTGGATGTATGCTCAAGCCAGTTGTTTGGAGAATGGCAGAGATTCCATTAGGATAGGATACATATCCTTTAATCTTTACAGACAAAAATTTTAGATGAGTGTTACTATGCACCTATGCTTCATCATTTCTTGGTCCATAAAGCAAGGATTTCTAAGTGATGAGTCTTTCACCACGTGCAGACAAGTGTTGAGGAACTGTTATACAATAGGTAGGTCATTAGCTTCATTTCTATTCTTAGTTACTGCTGTCAGAGTCAGTGGAAAGAGAGGGAGAGGAAGAGGAACGCTATTCATTCAGTTTTATTGTGAACTAACTTTCAGTGAATACCAAAGCACAGTACATTGTGATTTGAGGAATACTGGGATAAATAAGACAGTATGTCTCAATGACCTAATGAAAAAGTACAAAATACAGCAAATGTCCTAAGATCAAAAACAGGGAGAAGATATTTCTGTGGTTTTCATTTTAACCAATGTCCTTGACATCTGTCTGTGAGGAGAGGCTGATTAAAAGTGTAAGCTTTGCAGTAAGACGACATGGATTCAGATCCTGACCCTGCCACTTACTGGCTGTGACCTTGAGCAAGTTGTTTAAGTGCACTGTGCCTCAGCTCTCTCATGTGTAAAATGGGCACAATAGTGCCTATCACATATGGATATCCTGACTATTAAATGAGATAATCCATGGAAAGCACCAAAAATCAGAGTTCCTGCCTTACCATAAACAATAAGTGTAGCCATTATTCCTTTGTCCTTATTCTTCCAAATGTATTTGAACAAGATGGTACATAAAATATTAAGTATTGCAAATAAATAGTTATTGGTTAGATGGCCTTTCTACTTCTTAAGCGTTTCTATGTATTTGCCTTTTTCCCTCAGATTAGACTTTTCAAAAATGCCTACTCTTTTCAATGAATGAGTTAAAATTTATATTGTTTTTATCTTAGTAAATTTACTTTGTGCTAGTTTTCTAAATTATACCATTTTTTTTACTTTCAGTCTTTCTTAATAAATAAACTTAAAAATTGGAATTAGCATCAGAATTGAAATATTGATTCAGAGTAATTTTATTGTTATTTCTAAATAGCAAGTTTTTCTCTTGATTTCCTCTTATTGTGGCAAAATATACCTAAAATATTTAACCATTTTAACCACTTTAAAGTGTACAGGTAAGTCATATTAGGTAGATCTACACTGTTACGCAACTATAACATCTATATAGTTACGGACTCTTTCCAAACTGAAACCCTCTACTCATTAAACAGTAACTCCTCATTCCCCAGTCCCCAGCTACTAGCAACTTCTATTCTATTTTCTGTCTCTGAATTTGATGACTCTAGGTACAATATGAAAGTATCTTTGTCCTTTGCTGGCAAAAACAGGTATCCATTCTTTGTAGCTGATATTAGAGGAAAAACAGTTCAGTCATGACACCGCTGAGCATAATGTTAGCTCTGGGTTTTTCATAAATGATCTTATGTTGAAGTAGTTTCTTTCTTTCTTTTCTTTTGGAATGGAGTCACTCTGTTGCCCAGGCTGGAGTGCAGTGGCACGATCTCAGCTCACTACAAACCTCCGCATCCCTGGCTTAAGTGATCATTGTGCCTCAGCCACCCAAGCAGCTGGGAGTACAGGCGCACACCACCACGCCTGGCTAATTTTTGTATTTTTTTGTAGAGATAGAGTTTCGCCATGTTGGCCAGGCCGGCCTTGAACTCCTGACCTCAAGTGATCCACCTGCCCCTGGCTCCCAAGGTGCTGGGATTATAAGCATAAGCCACTGTGTCCGGCATGTTTCCTTTCAATGTGTTGAGTTTTTGTCATAAAAAGATGTTGAATTTTGTCAAATGCTTTTCCTGCATCGGTGAAATGATTATGTGTCTTTATTCCTTCATTTGTTAATGCGGCGTATTGCATTGATTTTTGTAGGATGTTGAACTATTCTTGCATTACAGGAATAAATCCTACTTGGTGTATCCTTCTTTCAATATGCTGCTGAATTTAGTTTGCTGGCATTTTACCGAGTATTTCTGCATTAACATTCAAAAGGATTATTGGTCTGTAGTTTTCTTTCTTGTAAAGTTTTTGATTTTGGTATTGGGGTCATGCTGGCTTTATAGAATTGATTGGAATGTGTTTCTTCCTCTTCAGTTTTTTGGAAGCATTTGAGAATGGCTGGTGTAAATTCTTTAAATGTTTGGTAGAATTCATCAGTAAAGCCACATGGTCCTGAGCTTTGTTGGCAGGTTTTTGATTACTGATTCAATCTCCTTACACAGTATTCACGTTTTCTGTCTTCATGATTCATTCGTTCTAGGTTGTATACTTCTAGGAATTTGTCCATTTCACCTAGACTATTCAATTTGTTGGTATACAAATGTTCATAGTGCTCTTATACTCCTTTTTATTCCTGTAAAATCAGTAGCAATGTCCCCTCTTTCATTTTTGGCGTTAATTTTTTCAGCCTTCTTTCTTTTCTCTTAGTCAATCCAGCTAAAGATTTATCCACCATTTTCTTGATCTTTTCAAAGGACCAACTCTTGGTTTCATTGATTTCCTCTTGTTTTTCTATTATTTGTTTTACTTATCTCTGTTCTAACATTTGTTATTTCCTTCCTCTGGCTAGCTCTGGGGGTTTTTCCGTTTCCTAGTTTCTTAAGGTGGAAAGTAAATCGTTCATTTAGATCCTCCTTCTTTTTCAACGTAAGCATTTATAGCTATAAGTTTCCATCTTAGCATGACTATGGCTGCATCCTGTAAGTTTCGGTGTGTGTTTTCATTTGTTTCAAGCTATTTTCTAACTTCCCTTGTGAATTCTTCTTCAACCCTTTAATTAAGCATGTGTTGTTTAATTTACACATATTTGTGAATTTTTCAATTTTTCACCTGCTGTTGATTTCTAGTTTCATTGCACTGTGATTAGAAAAAAATGAATGATTTCAATCTTTTAAAATTTATTAAAAATTTGTTTTGTGGCCTAAACATATGATCTATCCTGGAGGGTGTTCATTGTATACTTGAGAAAAACATATATTCTGCTGTTGTTGGAAGAATTCTACATATCTCTGTTAGGTCCAATTTGTTTATAGTGTTGTTCAAATCCTCTCTTATTCATCTTCTGTCTGAATGTTTTACACATTATGAAAGTCAGGTATTGAAGTCTCCCATTATTATTGTAGAGGTGCTTCTCCCTTCAATTCTGTCAATGTTTGCTTCATACACTTTGGAGCTCTGTTTGTTGAATTAATGAATTTATGTAAATCTCCTTGGAGAATCCACTTTTTACCATTGGATAATTTCTTTTTTTCTCTTCTAACAGTTGTTGACTTGAAGTCTATTTTGTCTGATATTAATACAATCACCCCTGCTCTCTTTTGGTTACTATTTGCATGAAATATCTTTTTCCATGCTTTTATTTTCAACCTGTATATATTCTTGGATCTAAAGTGAGTCTCTTATGGATAGCATATAGTTGAACACTGTTTTTAAAATCTGTTCTGCCAATCTACACCTTTTAATTAGGGAATTTGATCCATTTACATTTGAAATAATTAAGAATAGGGAAGAACTGACTTTTGCAACTTTATTTTTTTTCTATATGTCTTATAACTATTTTGCCCCTAAATTTCTCCATTACTGCCTTTCTTTGTGTTGAATTTATGTTTTTAGTGACATATTTTTATTCCTTTCTCATTTCCTTTTACATATACTTTAGATATTTTTGTTGTGGTTACCACAGGGATTACATATAATATTTTAAAGTTATAACAAACTTAAATC